TGTATGAAGATGAGTTAGTCATGTTGTGAAAGTCTGTAAAATATTGTAGATTTACTTCAATTTTTCAATAAAGACAAGCCATCGTGGCATGATTGTGAGTTAAAAAAATAATAATAATAATAATAATAATTTTTTATATATTGATAAAGAATCAATGAAAAGAGTTTTTGCTTTCTTATTAATGTATTATAAATAATGCTTTAAAAAATTATATTGATCATCTAATAAATTGTTTGCTATATTTTTTAAAAAATATTTATAGTTATTTTTTTTTAATATTGTCTTTCTAGTAATCTATAAATCTTTAAAAAATACAAGAAAAATATTAATCCTAAATATGGTCAGTTACTAATAAAGTATGACAGCAAATGCAAAATGAGTCAATTTTATTAAAAAAAAAAATAATAAATAAAGAACAGCAAAAAATGATAGTGAATCAAATGTGATTCGTGCGAGGTGGAAATGGATCAGGATATGAGTTTATTCATGTTGGATTCAATTCCAAGGGCAGCCCACGTAAAGATATACCACATTACAGTACTTACAGGCCACGCTTATATTTTGCAGCTAACCGAAATGAGTGTGAAATGATAAATTAATTTTATTTTATTTTTTCTTCTATGAGTAAGTGTAAATGATTAATAGCTTCAAATAAAGTTGTGACTAAAAGTTAATTTCTTAAGAAATTAATATTGTTCATGAAAAATTTACGAGCGGGGTGTCTTAATATAATAAAATTGTAGTGTACAGGGTTTCTCCAAGTTTTATCACCAACCGAAAACACAACTACATCAAAGTAAAAAATAGAACGCAGAATAACTAAAAGACGACGCATAAATAAACTACCGGATAAACAAATAAAAAACACGGAATCTATATATTGATAGATTAAATAGGCTCAAACGGTGGTATATAATCTCCGAAAAATTATCAAGCTCTTCTAACCATTTTCTTTTGTTTTTTCTTTAATTCTCTCTTTCTTTCCCTTTCCTCATACTAAAAAGACATCAAATAATAAAGAAAATATCAGAAACATGTAAAAAAAAAAAAAGATTCGAACTAGAAATTAGTATTACCTTTCTTTGTTCTTCCGGTGAAAGTTTAGCGACACGTTCTGCTTCTGCCCGTTTTTTCTCTGCTTTCTTCTGTTGAATAGCCTATAAGTTTCAAAATCGATTAAAATAAATATTTGAGGGAAAAAACATCAATTGTATATAATCACAGATAACAATTCATAATCCTACCTCCTGCCTTTCAGATTCTAATCCCTTTTGTATCTTCTTCTCAGCTTCTTCCCTATTCTTGGTGATTTTTATTTTAGCCTTAAAAATTTTTTTTTGAAATGAGTTCACGTAAAAAGAAAATGAACATATGGAAAACAAATTCGACGATCAATAAAAATGAAACTTTAACCACACCTCTCCTCTGAAAATGCAACTAGAGGGAATCCAATCAATCAAAAACATGAGTAACTCTGAAACAGGCGTAGTCTCATCAACTTGCGATGACGGTATCTCAGCTATAATTGTAATCAATTTTGGTTGATCATCGATAGGTCTAATTTTTATTAATTAGTTCGAAAATAAGTATTAAAAATTAAAATATTACACTCTTTTAAAATAAACAACATACTTTTCAGGTCTGAGACGCGGCTGATCGCTAATTATTACAGCATTCAAATATTTAGCAGTTGCTTTCACCAAATCTACAACTCTATTGGTGAGGATCGTTTCAGTAATATCCGGAGATTCGCTTTGAATATTCACCGTACTTGGAAGCAGGTTATTGTTACTTTGTTTAGTAAAATCTCCCTGATACGTTATTATTTTTAGGCGTTAATGTTGATGAGTTTGGTTTTTTTTTTTTCGCAAACATGCATAGGAAAATATATAGCATAACTTACCAGATCATATCGAGATTTTCGCAAATCTCCTGCTTTTTCTTTTTTTGTTATGGCAAAAACAAACCCATCATAGCCATCTTTATTCATATATGCATGATATCTCTGGGACAAATAAGAAAAAAAATTTTTTGTTGATATTTGGGAAAACGTTACCTTATTTATTTATACAAAAAAAAGTAATGATTTAAAAAGGCTTACCACAGTATCAACATTACCGTTACTACTAAACTGTGATATAATAAAGTTCGTAAGTAATTGAAGCAAATCATGCCTTGGTTTGAGCTATAATATATGGATATTGCATGCAAATGCTTGTCAATATTTTCCGCTTAACAATAAAAACCGAATTACATAAGTTAATAAGACCGTAATTCCGAACCGTAATTCTCCCATGAACATATTGACAATTACGACGACCTGTTAGATAGAATAGATAATCAGCTGGTCCGTCTCTAATAAGTGCATTACCCTTGTCGTTTCCGACTTGCGCGAAATTTTCGGCAAATAATTCATAATGCGTTTCCATCCTAAGACGCAGAACAATCATGAATTTGATTTTTCAAAATAACCACTAGCTCAATAAGTTCTCGGACCTTACCATTTCTTGGCGATACTCTCGTTTATTTGTTTCCCGATTACGTAATTTATAATATAAATAATAATAGTAACAACCATGAAAATCTCTTTATAAAAATCGGATAACTTCAATTTTGGGCGAACTAATATGAACAGATAAAAATTTGTTCGTTATCATTCGGTGCACTCAATCGCTGAAAAAAATAACAGAAATGAATCGTTAGAACTTACCAAAAAAGTTTAAAGGTTTAGGTTCACGTGCGACCTCTATTATCGGTGACTCCTCGACAGGTACGGGTGGAGGAGCATTAATTTCGCCGATCTCCTCGTCATCCCACTCATCTTTAAATTAACAGAATTTCAACATCTCAAATATATTGGTAATATTATACATAATGACGAAAGATAAAACGATCTATCAAATACCTGCGACGGATATTCCTATGAAAACTTGCAACAGCACAAGAACCACCAAAACTACCAGAATAACCTTCGAACGTCTTATCATGTTTAATATTATAATGCTATGATCGACGAAATGGTGCGTATTTCTACATTTCTACTTTGTGCTACATTGCACGTCAGATTCTTCTACCATTGAAAGTTAATAGGGCAGAAATTTGAAATCATACGCTATTTATATAGGGAGCGTAGTAGTCTTAATAGTTTTCAGTTTGTGAGAGAGTTAAAATTTCTTATTTGTAAAAAAAATATTTTATTTTCATTCGAGCAGCATAATACATACTACAGTTAAACATTTATCAAATCTAACTTTTTGTAGGCAATAATAGTCTCTAAGTTTGATCTTGGAAACAATATTTTGCTTCATGGTGGTCTTTAAGTAAAAATCCTCTTAATCTAATACTTTATTGCTAGCAGGTTGTCACTATCATATGTCCTATCAAACCACTGGAATACAGGAAACTTTAAAAGAATAGGTTGAAAAAAAAAAAGAAGGGTATATCTAAAAATATTCAAATGGATAAACAAAAAGATGAAAAGAAAAAAATAAATGAAAATTTTCAATTTCCTTTAAAGATCTGCTTTTCAAGACTTCTTTTTAATAAGAAATGCTCAATTGAAATATCTTTTCTTCTTCTAACTATCTGAAAAACTTATTCATTTTTGATCATGATTTTCTTTTTATATATTATTAGAAGACTTATCATCTAGTAGGAGCCTTTACTTTCAAAATATATTTGGTTCCAATTTTCTTTGAAAAATAATTTTTTATCTGCTTGTAATAAATGAATTACTTATAATGGATCCCAGGTTCTTATGTAATCCAATAGGAATTGAGCCATATTGTTTCAGTATAATATCTTTAAATAGTAATGATGGATTCCTAAAGTATTAAGGATATAAAATTTTGCAGATTACTTATATTCCTTTTTGAGAAACAAAATTCATAGCTCTTTACTTAAATAGGGACAAAAGTTAGGAAATGATGTAAATCCATAATTTGAACAACGGAAAACAATTGTGAATAGTTTTTTTATAGTTATTAATTTAAAAATTTTAATGTTTCCTAGTGAGAAATATTTGACTTTTGTTCTTGCTTCCTTCTTTAGAGACCCATTTTTATCCAATAATTATATTTAGTTAAAGGAATTTTATTAATAAATATCTTTCATTACATAAAAAGTTGAATTTACCATTCTTCTTTTTCCTTTATGATGATGAAAGGATTTATCTAGAAGGATTTTTATCAATTATTATGTTTTTTAATAACCTCTGAAAAAATATATTCTTAACTATGATCAAAGAATTAGAGCTCAACATGAACTAGAGAACATTTGATCTTATTATTTAATCAGAATAAAAAAGAAATTGTGATCTTAAATTTTACCTGATTAAAATAATAAGAGAAAAAGATCTTAGCTTGAACAAATAATTACCTAAGGGCTTATTACTTATATCTTATTAATTTCATAGAACTTAATCTGTAGATTAATCCAATTGAAAGAGCAGATAAGATTCGGATATCAATTTATTCTTATTATTATCAATTATATAATCAGAATACATAAATATAATCAATAGAAACTTATTTATATTTCAAATAACAAAATCCCAGGAAAATTCCAGATTAGTTATAAAATATTAAAGAAATTGAATCCAGAAGGAAAAGAATACCTATAAAAGATGCTGAATATCTTCTTAAGATAGAAAGTTACACCTGTATATTGAAAACAAAGCCACATATACCCAATAGCTAAATCAAAACCATAAGGATATAAATTGACAAATACAAGATCAATCGTACTATTGGAAGTTACTAGAAATATTTTACCAAAATTCTAACTCCCAGAATGAAAAATAATTACAGGATTAATAATATGCTTAAGGATCCCAACTATACAGGATTGCCAGAAAAAAGTACAGCAGACCTATTCAAATTCTCAATAACATCTGCGAAGATGCAAGAGAAAATAAAAAAAAGCTATGGATACTCTTCTAAGACATAGTCAAGGTATATAATACTATTAGTCTAAAAATACTAACCAAAGTAATAGAAAGGATCAAGGTGCCCAAAAGTTTTATCAAGATCATTATGAGCCTATTTTAAAATAGGAAGTTCAAAATAATATTTAAGAATGATCTTATAGAACCAATAAGGACAAAAGATGGAATAGACCAAGAAGAAACCATCTCATCACTGATATGAAGAATTTTTTATAACCCTTTGCTATACAAAATCCAAGAAGACATAAAACAAGGATACAAAATAGAAGTTTTATGGAATCTTGATTTAAATAATATCACTACTAAAAAGCTTGAATCAAGACATGCAGTTATAGCTTTTATAAATGATACTATATAAATAGCAAGGTTCAAAGAAGATATAAAAAAGATTCTAGAAACAACAAGAATCTTTTACAAAGCAAATAACTCTTAGATTAACAGCAACAAGTTGGTATTAGTTATTATTAATAATCCTAATTACTACTCAGAAGAAGTTCATACAGGAATTAACAAAGAAGTAGTTGGAAAGTTAAATAAAGAAGAGCAAATAAGATTTCTGGGAATATGGACAAGTAACCAGAAAATTGCAATCAAACTCAAAGAAAGGATCTTAAAAGAAATTAATACTGTTATGAAAGTTCTCAAAAATAAAAAAATAATCAATAAGTAAGCCCTTTATATACTAAATAGAGTATTGATTTTGAGAATAGAGTTTAAAATGCAGTATAGCATATTGTCCTGGAAAATATACAATAACTTGACAATAGCATATCGCAAGCTTTTCAAGAATAAAGCAGCCTTATATAAATTTATCCTCAACAGTGTGATTTATAATCCAAAGATATACAATCTTAAAAGTATATGGATGCTTCAAAAAAAAAGCCAAATAACTGGACTCTGTAATAGAATAAATAATCAGGGTTCAACAGGACTTACTATAATTATTAGATTAAAACAAGCACAGATTAAGTATTGAAAGTCCCACAATTTTCTTTCATATGAATCCCTAGGTAATTTTGATAATAAAAGAAATTTTACATTACAAGTTCTAAAGTTGACTAAGAACTTGGGACTACCTTTCTAGAGCTGAAAGTGTAATGATATTTTTGAATAGACTAAAGGCAATAGTCCAATTCAAGAATATCTAACAGTAGAAGAATATAGAAAAACAATATCATCTTTGCAAAATAATAGGTTAATATATATAATCAGCTGATAAATCAAAATCTCACAAAATTCAGAAAGTAGAGAATAGTTCAACTTATTCATCCCAATAGCAAAGGCTCTATCCCAGGATGATATACAGTAATATCCTATAAAGAACCATAACTAAAGAAAGTATAGAAGACTTCACAACACTTTGAAAAAAGAGATGGGAAGAAAAGTGACTATCAAAATGCATTAAACCTGAATCTGACAAAGATAAAAGAAAGAAAATCTGGATAGTTGCCTAGAAAGAGAATCAACAAATGGTATAAAAAAACTGATTTAAGAAAGCAGCCAAGGTACTGCAATAATTTATTATTTCAACTATTAAGAAACAGAATATGATCCAGAAACAGTCCTTATCAAATATATAGGATACTCACTAAACAATAGAAATAGGAATGAATGTAATATAGAAATAGAATCAGATTTGATTTATACTATACCATTCTTAAACCATAAAAAAAAATACTAAGAAAGTGCAATTACTAAAAGTTCATTGTTTTTTATTGAAACTAAATAGTATAATGATTAAGAGTATAGCTCCAAAAACCAAAAATTTGACAAATAATCAATTAAAAAAATGGAACAAGTATTAATAGAAGATTGAAAACACAAAATATTTAGAGATAATATCAAGCAAAGAGTATATAAAAATCATCTACTTGAAATTCTCTAGTGCAATCAAAGATTATATGAGAAGCCAACTTTCTATTTCCACGAATCCTTAATTAATTATGTAAATAAAAATACAAAAATAGATACAGTATAGATACAAACAGAAGGAGCTAGAAAAGAAAGTAAATTTCAAAAGGAGTCAAAAACTGACCCTTGTTCAT